GTCAAGGGATTCTCCCATTTCTTGTCTTGCACAGATCCTCGTGGAGACTGTGAATCCCCCAGGGAGCTCTCACTCACTCACCCTTTTTTATATTCCAGAGGCTCTCCTGGCTACATGATGAGCCCAGACAGGCTGGTTCCCAGGTTTGCTCCTCTCATCTTTCTGTGTCTGCTGCCATGATGCATCCCAACATGGTTTCTCAGATGACCAGCATTCTCCCATAAGCAGGCAATAACATTTAAAGCAGATACATAGAAAGCAAAGGTGTAAACATATTGATACTCAGAAAATCATAATCAGAATGAATGATTTATAGAAAGATTGGCTTTTGTTGTAGAGTCCACATACCACATAATCTAGATAACGCTCTCCTAATATTTACAAGGAACCATGTGAGGAGCTTCTCTCTTGTAAACAGTCCTCTAGAGGATAGCAGTTACATCGACTACTCACTACTGAATAGAAACATATAATTTAAGATTCTGTGAAAATATATCTCCAAAGTGCTATCCTGTAGGCTGATGAAGGGAGGCCAGGGTGGGTCAGGCAGTGTAGGTGAGAGGTGGTTAAGGCAGTTGAGGCAGTGGCGGTAGAGCCTGAGATGACCAAGGTAGAGGCAACGATGTCTCTGTATTCTTAAAAAATATTCTCACACAAGTAATTTGGCTACTGCCTGGTTTAGATTTAATTTAATTTTAGCACAGGAAGCTCTAAACCATAGCTGACTTGGTGTACTTATTCTTTGTTTCTTATATGTTGAACAACTTGTTCTAACAGTTCTGCTTTTTAATTTTAGAAAATTGCTGCAATAATATATTCAAAAAATAAATTTTTAGGAACCAATACATTACTGTTTGAGGATGATCAAAACCTGATTTTTAAAAATAATAACAATATTTATCTTTGTGATCTCAGTAGGTCATTAATAATGCCTATTATATTATGGTTCATAAGATTAGACTTCAGCTGTGACATGCACTTGCTCTATATCTCCTTTTTTTATGCCATACAAAACATAGGTTTTTAAAACAAAGATTAATAATAACCAGCATAGAACATTTAAATGTTATTGAATGAAACCGTAACAGCAGGCCTTTTTTATGTTGTAGAAATGCCCCAGAAGAATTACATTTAATGGTTCTTTTTTTAAGTAACAACAATAAACAGAATCATGCTTTCCCATCTAAATTACAATATGACTTCTAAGGTTATTCCCATTAGAAAACTCTTGATTCTGAGGAATGCCTCCCTACCAGACAAAATAAAGCTTATGAAGGGATAAACACTTTATAGTATCACCAGAAAATTTTAAATTAAAACATCAGCAGTACATACTCAGAAAATAAATTATTGTCTAAATCAACATTATATGTTCCTGAAAACTTATGTTGCAAATGAGATACTTAACAAAATATGTCTCATGATATTAAAGGGGCATCAAGAGTCCTTTTTTAACAACTTTTCCCTGTAGTGTTTCTTATAGATTTTTTGGTACCATTGGCTATTTCTCTCCAACTTTGACAAAGATTTTTCTACTACAGTAGATTTGTAATGTATATTCACTTTCACTTACAGAGATGGCGTACTGTCTTTATAAATTAGCACCACTCCTACCACACTCTTCCCTCCACATATTGCAGTTGTCGAGGCTTTTAGTAGATAAATTGTGTATGGCAATGTTTTGATGGTAAAGGGAAAGTAGAATCCAATTAAACATCAAGAAACAAAATAAGACAAGACCTGAAGAAGAAAGGTTACTTATGTAATACGTTATGAAGGAATGACCCTTTTTTAGTATATTACAGTTTCTTGCTATATAAGTGCTTCATCATGTAGTTAAAATAACATTGCATGGTCAAGCTGACTACCTTCCTTCTGTAGAAGACAAGCTTTCACATGAAAACTCAAGGTAATCCATTACCACAATTCTGCTGGAAACCTGGAATATGTTTCTAAAGAGGAAACCAAGATTGTTATTTTCATTTTGCATTGATAATGAATGGGATCAAGGTGTTTAAGAGACCAGTTTCTCTGCTGAACATTATAATAATCCATTCTCTGTGGTTGCACAATGTGGCTAGGAAGCAGGGTATCCAAGCAAGGTGCCTAAAAGTTCAATCTGATCTTTGGGGTTGGTTTTGATAACTGTAGCATTGTACAAAATTTTGAGAGAGTGTGTAAAATGGTACAGGATTTGCCAGCCCTGGAAAAGTAGAGTCAGAGGTCTGTGTTTTGAAAGCTAGACTTCCTGTATTTTGTGTATATTCTTTTTTATTCTTAATATTGTGAATAAATTTTATTCTTAATATTGTGAATAAATTATTCTTAATACGTATGGGCTTTTTAAAGCCAGGACGATCAGGCAAGTAAAATAAAGTCATCAAAATTGGACAGGAAGAAGTAAAACTATCTCCCCAGGTGTCATAATATTAAAAATACAAAACCTTGAAAATTCCACAAAATGCCTATTATGGCTAATAAGCAAGTTCAGCCAAGTTGTAGAATATAAGATTAGTGTACAAAAATCAGCTGTATTTCTATATGCTCCCATGAATGATCCAAAATAGAAAGTAAGAATTTCACTTACATCAGCAAAGATTAATAGATATAAATTTAACCAAGGAAGTGGTGGAAGTCTTGTACACCAAAAAGATACAAATTTTTGCTGAAAGAAAGTAAAGAGAACTTAAATAAATAAAAAGATATACTGTGTTCATGGATTGGAAGATTTGGTATGTTAAAATGGCACTATTCCCCAAAATGACCTGCATATTAATTGCAATTTCAATCAAAACACCAACTGCTCCCTGCCATGTTTTTGCAGAAATTGACAAGCTGATCCTCAAATATCTGTGGAATTTCAAGGGATCTGAAATAATGAGCAAATTTGGCGAACTAATATTTCTGATGTCAAAATTACTATAATGCTACAGTACTCAAAACTGTGGTACTGACATAAAGATTGACATAGATCAATGTTGTAAAATTCAGGGTCCAGAAAAAAACCCATACGTCAATGGTTTATTGATTTTGACACAGGTGCCAAGACCACTGAATGGGGAAAGAATAGTTGTTTTCTTCAATAAATGATACTTAGACAATGGATAGCCACATGTAACTGAGTAAAAATTGATTACTACTTCACAACGTATAGAAAAACGAACACAAAATATACCAAAGACCTAAATGTATGAGAAAAAAGTATGCAGCTGAGAAGAAAACATATGTGTACATATTAATAACCCTAGGGTTTGACAAGATTCTTAGATATACCACCAAAAACATAAGCTATAAAATAAAAAAATAAATGACTTGATCATAAAAGTTAAAAATGTGTGTATCAAAGGTCACTATCAAGCAAATGTAAACCACAGAATAGGAAAAAAATATTGCAAATTATGTATCTGATAAGGGACTTGTACATAAAAGATACACATGTACATGTCTTAGAACTCAATGCTAAAGAGGTAACACAAATAATGGAAAATGATCTGCATAGACATTTCTCCAAAGAAGTTATATAAATGGCCAGTAAGCATGTGTGAAGATGCTCAATATCATTAGAGAAATGCAAATCAAAATCACATGATCTGCATCACCTCCAAATCACCCTACTAGAATGGCATTAATAAAAAATAGGCAATAAGTGATAGCAAGGACGTGGAGAAATTAGAACAGTCATAAATTGCTGCTAAAAACATAAAATGCTGAAGCCACTTTGGAAAAGTCTGAAAGTTCCTAAAAAATTTAAGCATAGCATTATTATAAGATCCAATAGTTTCACTCCTAGATATAGACTCAGAAAAAATGAGAACATACATTCACAAAAAAAAAACTTGCACATAAATGTTCATGGCATTATTATTTATAATTGAAAAAACATGGAGAAAACCCAAATGTCCCTCAACAAACATAATGTGGTATATTGTTGTAAGAGAATATTATTCAGTCATTTTAAGAAATAAAGTACAGTAAGTCCTTACTTAACATTGTTGACAGATTTTTAGAAGCTGTGATTTTAAGTTAAGGGACACATAAGGAAACCAATTTTACCAAAAGGTTAATTGAAATAAACAAGAGTTCAGTTCCTACCGAATATTTCTGGTCACAACAAAGTTACCAAACTTCTAAATAAACTAGTAAATACTTCTAATATTAAACACTAAAATAAATATAAGCTATGCATACAATTAAGAAAGATCAATAAGAACAAGATAATTATTTACATACTTATGCTTATTCCAGTTCACAGTAGTGGATAGCTGGAGCCTAGTTCAGCAGCTCAGAAGGAAAGGCGGGAATCCACCATAAACAGGACTCCATTCCATCACAGAAAACTCATGCATGCACATCCCCCCACACTCCCTCATACTGGGATCATTTACACATGCCAATTCACCCAATACACACTTCTTTGGAATGTAGGAGGAAACTGAAATACTCGGAGAAAACTCATGAAGACATAGGGAGAACCTGCAACCTCCACAAACAGTGGAATCTATTTTCTCAACATTATAACCAAACAGCATTGAACAAAACGAGTTATTTGAGACCTGCCATAATGATATAGATTACAACGTGCATTGACCTGAAAACGTTTTGCTAGACACCAAAGGCCACACACATATTGTGTGATTCCGTTTATATTAAATGTTCAGGCAAGGCAAACCGATAGAGACAAAAGGCAGATTAGTGATTGCCAAGGGATGGAATGTGGGGGATGAGTTGAGGGAAAATGGAGAAAGACTGCTAATTGGTACTTTGTTTTTTATTTGGATGATAATAATGCTCTGGAATTAAACAGTAGACACAACATTGTGAATATACTGACAACCACCGAATTATATACTTTATCATTTTTATTATAATTAAAATGGTGAAATTTATGTTATATTAATTTCATTTCAGTGACAAATTATTTAAATATTTTCATATCACAATAAAAAATTAAGCATAATATTTCACTAGCTACAACTTTGAACACATAACAAAACACAATAATCGTGAAAGAGTCATTTTATTAAGATAAATCCAGTAAAATTTGTGCATTCACATATAATCAAAACTGCCCTTCTGAAATAAACATTTGTATTTATTTTCAAAATGAAAATACAATTTCATTTTTCCCAAGCTAATAATAAAGTTCTATTTGGAAAGATAAGTTTAATTCTTAGCATTACCTGAAAATATTTCACCTTCTTTATAAAAGCAACCTAGAGCACAAGAATGTTGGATGAGACTTTTTCTTTTGGGATTCCTCACTTTGGGTAATTATCACATATATAAAAGAGTAAAATTAAAATTCAAAGATCTGACGCATAACTTACACAACACGAAATTCACTCGCAAAGTTGAAAGCATATTTTTTTCTATATATTCCACTACTATAATCACAAAATTTATAGATAAATGTTTCATGTTAGAAAGTTTATGGCTAATAATCAGCATGAAGATGTTCTGAAATTAAATCAATGCTAAAGAAAGACTATGTTTATAAAATTTTTGATAAAAATATTTATCTCTATTCACTTTACAACATGAAGGTACATGTTACCAAATTGTGAAACCACATAGGGCAGTTTTAAACAATACTCTGAGGCTCCTCTTTTTTTCCATCTTCTTCTTTGACCTCATCTTCCTCTTTTTCTTCTTTCTCTTCTTTTTCATCTTCTTTTTCTTTTTCAGCTTCTTCCTCATTTCCACCGTCATCTTCTTTTTCATGTTCTCTCTCTTTTTCATCTTCTTTGACTTTTACTTCTTTCTCCTCTTTTTCATCTCCTTTCTCTTTTCCATCTTCATTCTCTTCTCCATCTCCTGTTTCTTTTCTGTGTTCTTCTTTTGCATCTCCTTTCTCTTTTCCATCTTCTCCATTTCCTTGTCCATCTTCACTTTTTTTTTCATCGCCTTTCTCTTTTGCATCTTCCTCTTTTCCATCATCTCCTTTCTCATTTCCATTTTTATCCTCTTTTCCATCTTCTTTCCCTTTTTCATCTTTGTCTTCTTTTCCATCTTCCCCTTTCTCTTTGTTTTGATCTTCTTCATCTCCTTTCTGATCTTCTTTTTCATTTTTTCCTTCTGCTGCCCCTGGTTCTTTCTTTTCTCCTCCCTCTTCTGTGGCATCTTCAATCTTTTCTTCTTTCACTTCCACAATTTCCTTTTCAGAAGCTGGTTCCTGTATGAACAATGAAAAAAAAAAAAAAACAAGATTCTGTTTGTAAATTTAGAATTGCTTCCCCTAAATACTTATACTGAATTATATCTATTTTACAGAAAGACTGATACTGCGTTTACAAGAAAGTAATTGTCCTGTGAAAGAAGCCTCCAAAATATGACACTATGAGGAAAACATTCTAAGAAATGAGATTACTAAAATGTCTACAGAAATACCTACAAATAGATATTTGAAGCAATAAATTCAAAAACACTTATATAAATAATTTTCATTTCAAATATGAAGAAGCACAAAGTAAATACTTGAAGGATGACATATATTTATTCTATATCAGCAATTCTTAATGAGGACTATGCATGTAAACAAAATATATTGCTTGGAAAAATAACATCTTTTGTTTCTATAATAGTGATTTTTTAATGAAAAATTACTTGAAAAGTATTTTCATATATAACATAACTTACAAAAGATTTTCCATATTTGCATATGTTTAGTTTATAGATTTGATGAATACATCCCATGTTTAGTGTTTTACTACAATACCTAACAATTGTATGCATTAAATATGCAAAATAACATTAAAAACATTTATGTAATGATTTTCTTTGCCATCTATAGAGGAAATAAAAAAAATCATAATTTCTGGATAATGGCTTCACACATAACCCATGTGCTGACAAAAGGAATAAAGTATTGGCCTGTATTTAATAAGAAGTTGTTATGTTAGTACTAAGTCATAATCTTTAGCATTGTTCTAGCAACAGCAATGCTAAGCCACCGTTTGCACTACTGGTCCCTACAAATTCTCATATTTTAAATTCATTTTATTTTCTCCTTAGATACCATTATACTATAGAAACACTGCTTACTTTTTTCCAACCTGTAAACTAAAGGACAAATAAGATTCCTTTCAGTTGTGTCTGTTGTTAAACTTTCAAATGGACAAAACTGTTAACATTAGAAGATACCTCTATAATTTTGGCTCCTCCATTTTTAGCATTTTCATTGCAGTCTTCTTCAACAACTTCTTCTTGCTTCATTTCAGCAACTGCTCTGGCACTTGTATTTGCATTTTCTTCCATCATATCACTTTCTGTCTTCATTTTCTGCCAAGCAACATAAAACAATAAAAGTAAATACACAATTTAACTGCTGTGTGATTAAATGGCCACAATTATTCTACCAGCTGTTGTAATAATTTATGCAAATGCTTTAAAATATCACATATAAACCTAGTATCAACAAAATTATCATATAATACTTTTAGTTTCATTGTAAGGCTAAAGCAGCATTAAAGTAAACAATGTTTCCTTGATATAAATAAAATAAATTTTCTTTTACGTTGAATGATAGAGATGAGAGGCAACCAGTTAGAATGCTGACTAGTTGCTGCCAAGAACAAACTGCCAACATCAGGTTAGACTGATCAATTAATTACCTCTGACTAGAGAGGGTCAGTCTATTTCTTTCAAGCCTAATTAGTAAGGAACAGGGTTGTGTTGATTGTAAAGCCTTCATTGGTAATAATGAAGAGAAATGCTATTAGTGAGAACATCAATTTAGATATATTTTTAAAAGACCTTATGGTGACGTGTTTCAATCTTTGTATCTACAAGTTTGGAATGCCCTGATTCAAGATGACTTTACCAAAAAAAATTTTTGCCTACCTGTGTATGTAATAGAAAGTCAACTGGATTAAGGGTCCAGAAAACCTATGTTTGAATTCTAGATCTGCCACTTATGTGATGTGACCTTGAGCAAAGGTATAAGTATCTTTGAGGCTGTTATTTTCATATATAAAAAGAGAGTAATACCACCCACCTCACAGGGTTGTTATAAGGAGAAAATGAGAAAATACATGAAAAATTGCTTTAGAAACTGTAAATTGTAATATAGATATAAGTTATTATTCTTTTAACACATGAGAAACAAAACCAAGGGTAAAATCTTTGGTTATATAGTATACGTTTTAGTCTAACGCTATTTTTCTTTTCTTTTCTTTTTGAGACAAGGTCCTCCTCTGTCACCCAGGCTGGAGTGGGTCAATCTCTGCTCACTGCAACCTCCACTTCCCAGGCTCAACGGATCCTTCCACAACAGCCTCCCAAGCAACTGGGACTATAGGCATGCCTGGCTAATTTTTGTATTTTCTGTAGTGACGGTGATTCACTATAATGCCCAGGCTGGTCTTGAACTCCTGAGTTCAAGTGATCCACCCACCTTGGACTTCCAAAGTACTCAGATTACAGGCATGAGCGACCACATCTGGCCTTACTTTTATTTTTAAAAGAAAATATGCTTATTTTCTGTTTTAATAACTTGTAAATTGAATATGTAATCTTACACAACAGTGGACTTGAAAAGTAAAATGCAGAAGAAAATAAACTTTCTTTTCTTTGGTCACCATTCAATATATAAATTATTACTAAAACTTCAATTGCCCTAAGTTTGGCAATATTTGTTAATAAAGGATTTCATTTGTGAACATGATGACAGTTTATAATTTCTTAAATTATGAAATGATAGGATTAGATAGTCTCTAATGTTCCTCATAGCCTTAACCTTTTATGATTTCAGGAATTCAACCAATATTCTTATGTATTAGGCAATTAACAGTAAATTAAATATTGAAATTATTTACATTTCTACATCTTTAGCTACAACACCAGAGTATATAAGTCCATACAAAATCAATTGTGTCAATTCAAAATTAATATATGCAAATACTTCTTATATATATTTATTTTTATATATAATTATATATTATCTTATATGTACTTTGCCAACTGTAAAATATTATCAAATATTAGTTACTACTCTTATTACAAAGCACAACTTTGTGGTTACTACTGTTTTCACCTTTTGTTTTCCCAGGAAAACAGTATTGTCACTACATGATAGCAAAGCCATGTACATTTAATGGGCCTATCCAACTGAAATTGTTTTGTCTCTACCCAATGAAAATGTCAAAACGCTGTGGACAATCACAAAACAGGAACAAATATTTCCCACCCAAGTGGTTAACATGTATCACATGATAGAATAGAATATATACTAACTGAACAAAATATAAGCAAAGTAAAATGATCAGCTGTATGCCATTTCAAAAATTATTTTTTTTAAAAAAAGCATATTTATTTCAACATTCCAAGTTGAATATTTACCCTTGGAGTTGATGTTCTTTGGGGCCTCACCTCTGGTGTAATGGGCATAAGCATCTGCATCAAGTTGTGGGAAAAGAAAAGAAAAGGAAAAAAAAAATCATATTTGAAGAAAAAGTGCTAAAAATGATATCTGACCTCTGAATTAAAATAAATGGATATGATTAAATGTATTAAGGAAAAAAAATCCACATTCTTTGGTGTGAAAGTTTTTCTTAAAACTTCAAAAATAAATTGTGTATTGAATGTTTAAGAATTCCTTAAAATTTAAAATGACATTTCACAATACATGGGCTGGTTTTTGAAAAGATAACTTACGGCAGACAATCTGGCAGATCTTCTCTTTGGCTATAAGTGAAAAACAAAAATCTGTTAAGAGAATTATGGATACATAAAGCTAGAATTATTTTTACTGAGGTGAAAATATATGGTGTAACAATACATAAATCTTGTCATTAAAGGAGCAATTGTGAATTTGGTTAGAAAATACCGTAAAAGAAATATAAGTTTTGACTTTTCCCTTTTCTGAACACTTGATATACTAAGGAAAAAGTCTCGAATTAATCTTAAGTGGCTAGGCTAAATTAACACAGTAGCTAGTAACAAGGAGCACATTTAGAAATGAAAATATGGCCTTTCCTTGCCAAATGACAAAGCAATTATTGTGATTAAAAGGAATAAGTTCTCTCCACATCTGAACAATTTCAAGAAGCTTGCAGTTTTTAATACTTACTATATATTTTTCTCATACTCGGTATATTTTTATTGTGCATTAATTAGATGAAAATTAATAATACACATTGATCAAAACATTAGATTAACAAAACCATAAAGGTAAACAGCTGTTCTTTAATATAATAGTCACACAACAATGATTCCTGCTTTGTAGGACATATAGAAGATGGCATACTCTAAAAACTAGAACCATATATATTCAATACAATATAACAAAAACTACATAGTATTTTAAGAAATTTTTCACATATATTAACAGTCATTTAGAACCTCAGCTTTCTAAAGTAAGCAACATGTAAGCCTGTAAAGTACACACACCAAATGAGACTAACTCACAAAACATTGAAATCAAATATTAGCACATCTCTATTGTCAAGAATATTTCCTCAACATCATTTCTATAAAAAAAGTGAAGACCGGGCACGGTGGCTCACGCCTGTAATCCCAGCACTTTGGGAGAACAAGGCGGGCCGATCAGGAGGTCAAGAGATTGAGACCATCCTGGCCAACATGGTGAAACCCCGTCTTTACTAAAAATACAAAAATTCGACGGGCGTGGTGGCACGCGCCTGTAGTCCCAGCTACTTGGGAAGCTGAGGTGGAAGGATCACTTGAACCCAGGAGGCGGAGGTTGCAGTGAGCCAAGACTGCGTCACTGAGCTCCAGCCTGGCGACAGAGCAAGACTCTGTCTCAAAAAAAAAAAAAAGTGAAAAAGCCTTTATTTTATTCTGAATGGCAATTTTAAAAAGTCCTCTCTTCTGAAATTCAGATATATATTTTTGAGAGAACCCACTGGCATACCATATTGGTCCTCATATAGTACAAATATACCAACCAACATCTAATTTTTACCTGCTTATGTGTGTCAAGTTTATAAAACTACTGGTTTTTCCTAACAGATGCTAAGACTAAAGAAACTCACCTCCTTCTTCGAATCACCTTGACTTGCAGCCTACACAGAGCAGAAAACCACACAGAGATAAGGTCATTGATATAAACATGTAAATCAGAAAATACTGCCTGCAGATTACATATTTCAATATAATTGCTTATTACTTTTTCCTGGGTTCCTGCTCAAGTAGACACGTGTTGTTTCTTAGGAACCATGCTACATACTGCTGTTTTACTAATGTGCACCAAGATGCAAGTGCATGCACAAGACATACTTTTACACAGTTGATAATGTAAAAGCCAAAAATGTGGGGGCGGGTCAAATGAAGGCGGAGCTTCATGTAATTTCCCTTTCTTGCCTTGTGTTTGCCATGGAATTGTACCTATCTTACCCTCTGCACTGACTCTGGACAATTCTCTCCAAGTTTTGCATGCAATAATTACAGCCCTCGCAGTGTTTTGTGGGGGGACCTCTTCGTTACAAAGTCAGTGCTTTATTCTAAGAAACTGGCTGCCGATTTTAAAACTTCCCGCCACTACCTGCTATAAGGTTTGCTGTCAGCTCTGCAAAACAGCAAGACCTACTGCACAAGTATAGAAAGGCACAGTGGCGGGAATCTCAGGAAGGGGGGATGGTGATTAGAAACACTTGCTTTCCATATCAGAGCAGCCCTTTAGCCTGGGAATTATCAAGCTATTGCACGATTCATACAGCCACAGAGCACAGCGGTATTTCAGTCTTATTCCTATGTTTTAGGAATAAGGAAGGAGGACTTGTTTACAGGAATAATCCAAAAACAATCATGACTTAAGTTAGCACAGTGTTTACGGTTTTACCAAGCAATGAAACAGCGTTCGATTTCACTTCTAGGGGGACTAAGAAAACAAAAACAAACAAACAAAAAAAGAAAACACCGAGCGTGAACTTGTTTCCTGTCTGAGAGGAGCCAGGAATTGTGAAGTGAGGGTTTGCAGAAGACCTGTGGAGCTCTAAAGGCTCAGATCAATTCTGCGTAACTAAAGTGAACAAATCCATGCTACCCCAACCTCCGCAAGTTTATCCGACACTGTTTCCTTATAATCTTTCCACCTTTAGCTAAAGAGCTTGGAAAGGTACAGCTTTCTCACCCCTGAAGTTTCTAATTACAGCGGTGAATCTCTCTTCTCTAGGACAGTTTGAAGTCTGCGCCGCCTAATGGCACAGGATTACCATTGCATAGCCATCTGGCCTGACAAGAAGTGGAGGAGGGAAGAAAAAAAGAAAAAAGAAAACGGGAAGAACAAAGGCAAATACAGGAGAAAGCCATGTCTTTCGTTCCCCCAAACGGGACGGTTCCCCGAGAAAAGCCGGAGGCAAAGGAGGAAACTGGTGCCTGGAAGTGTGGTTGGAAGAAGTGTTCTCCAATAGGGTAAGCGAAGGAAGGGGGTTGGGGTAGGAAGCGACAGCACAGCGCTATGGCTGTTTGTAATTCAGCATGGAGACACCTTTCAAGAGATTCTCTTCCTTAAAACACTCCAAAAGTGAACTACCAGTTGCATGCAAGACCATCCTAAACCTTTACAACCACTGCTCTTTGCCCTTCTCCCCCATTCCGTTTCAGTGCATCACAAAATGGAAGAAGCCTAAAAGCTTTAAAACAAACAAATAAACAAATAAATTCTTCCTATTAGGAAATAGGTAACTCAGCAGCTAATCCCCCTTCTGTCTTTCCATTTCACTTACCTTTCTTTTGGGCATTGTTGTAGCTCTCTATAGGAGATCTTAGTCAGCAGAAAAAAGCCGAAGCAGTCACTGCCTGACTGCTCCAAGAGCGAATGAGTTTTCAATGAACTAATTGCAGCACGACCTGTACTCTCCTCTAAAAAAAAAAAAAAAAAAAAAAAAAAAAATCCCTCGTTATTGGCAACATTAAACACGCCAAGACGCAACCAAACTACGTGAATGGTTAGCCGGAGTGGGAGCCACATTGGAGTGACAGGCTCTTAGGCCAATAAGAAGAGGGAGCCGGCTTTGAGGGGCGTGGCCCGCGAACTTGCCCGAAGCCTTCGTTCGCTGACGGCTCTAACCGCTGGTGTAGTGGAGGAGCACGCGAACTTAGCAGGGCCTGAGCGATCAGGAATAAGAATGGCAGGAAAGCCAGAGTTGTCTTGATTAGTTTTTTTCTTTTATGTTATAACGACAGGCGAAAGCCACAACGGTTGCTTTCTTCACAGTCTCCAAACACCCCACCTTTCCCTATTCCTAGGGAGGAAAGTGCTTTTAAGACCCGTTGAGTCTGGGCTCCAGTCTTTCCCTGCCACCTTTGGCGGTATGGTGATGAACCGACAGGAACACTCATTCAGAGAGTGGAAAAGAGGAGATGTTTCTCTGGTGTGGGAACTTCCCGCCAAAGCAGAACTGTGGCGTTGGCAAGAGGAGGGTGCCAAAATGGCGTGTTTTCCCCAGGTGGAGAGTAGCGACAAAACTGGGAGCTATACCGTTATTCCACTTGGAGTGCATATATCAAGAATTCAGCGGGACCCCGAGGGAAATTTGTAATAGCAGAGATCTATCTAAAGGAAAAGCACTGAGAATAGATTTTTAATCGGAAGGTGGCATTTAGTGAAAGGACTCAAGAAGGTGCTATCCACGAAAGCGTTTATGACTCAGAACCTAGACTAGCATAAAGCGATTGAGGTACTCACCTCAGGCACAAAATTTAAGCTTGTGACAAAAACCCAGGAGGCAAGGATGACGCGAATGAGGTGAGTTATGCAAGTGTAGGGTAGGATCCTGTCTTTACTTAAATTCTTGATATTTTGTTAGTCATGGACTTTTTGGCAATAATTTTGATATTTAAAAAGATTGCCTTAAAATATTAAGTATCTTTATTACTGAGTTTCTAGGCGGCCCTTTAAAATTTTTGCCAAAGGAGAATGTCTCCATAGCGTCACTCTAGCTCCAGACATATTTAGGTGGCTTTTGACTGTAAGAGAGGCTTATAGGTGCCTTTCAGTGTCAGTTCCTGAGACCTAAAGGTTTCAGCGTCGAGGTGAAGATTGGTGAATAAATTTCTTGGGAATAAATATGATTTAAATAGAGGATCTAATTCCCCAAAGAAGAGGCGCCTTGATGTGGTTGTTGTAAGAGCTACCTGTGTTTAAAAGCACTCCTAAGCAACAGCCCAAATCCTTATCCTGGAAGATTAATCAAAAAAGAAAGTTAACCTTTTGAACAGTTGCTTTAGGAAAAATTTATTTGTGTTCATGTAGGTTAAAAATTTCGAAACAATCAGTTTAAGAGATAAACACTATATCTGCTACAGAGTGCCAAACCATCCCTTCAAGCAAAAATACAGCATCACAGAATAAACCATTATTATTATTATATTTATTATATTATTTTGCTTTTATTATATTTTATACTATTATTATTATTACTATTGCTTTTTCTTCCCCAGCACTGATAGTGTGGAATTAAATAAATAGATCAGGTAGAGTGAGCCTCCGTGACTGGGGCTCAGTTTCCTTCCCCTAACTTCATGCTGCATTCTAAATCAACTAAGTAAATCAGAAAGACATTTAAATTGCTTCCTTTTTCTACAGTTATTGGGATAATCCCTAGATGCTCCTGATGTCACCTTTTGCCCTTATGGTAAAAGCATCGTTGGGTGAATCTAGACATGTTTCAATCATTTTATTCTCCAACAGTTAGAAGATAAGCATAAAAATTGAGTTTAAGGATAAGGAGAAAAATGAAGGGAATGAAAATGTGTCAGCAGTGGAACACATCCGTTCAATAAATTTTTATTTAGCATTATTTTGTGAGTTGTATTTTGTTTTTGTAGACTAGCTTATGAAAATGCAAAACACTGTGGCATGCCAAGTTGCATTAAACAGCTTCTGTCTTTAAGGAATTTTATAATTTTGTAGGATCGAGCAAACAGATGCATACCTATTTACAAATCAAAGCTGATTGTGTTATCTGAATGGTGCAATCAAAATTCAATAATAAAACAGGAGGGAAAGGATCTTTTAGGACTAAGGTAATTTGGCAAAATCTTTGATTGAGGGGAGTGGAATTTGGCTTGCCTGAGAACATTTGATAGACTGTTACATTATAGCAAATTCAGAAGCAGGAAAAGTTTGTACTTGTTCAGGGAACATAGTGCCTAGTTCAAGTGGGTTGAAACAAATTATCTTGAGGAGCCTCGAAAGCTTAGAGGTTTGAAGCAAAGCAAAATGTGCAGATCAGTGAGCTCTAAAACTCCTCTTAAATTTGTCAGCAATTTTCTTTTTTGGGGCTTTTCTTGGGGCTAACCAGTTGCCACTGTGATTTATATCATATTCAATTGAAAAAAAATAGTCATATATGCATGAGAACATTTTCTAAGTGTGAAACATTCTTCTGTTTCTTGACCCCAATTCCCCAACTCCCCATGTTCTTCCTTCTAACCATTAAGCAGAGCGGTCCTTTATTAGCAAACCTGGTTTAGGCTCTGCCTTTGCAATATTATTACCTCTGACTGCAGCCCCATTCTCGTATATCTTCACCTATCAAATCTTTACCAAACTGTTCAGACCCAATTGAAGTATCACCTCTTTGACAAAAGCCTTCTTCAATCATTTCAGCCCCAAGAAATTCTTCCCTCCTTTTATACTATAGAATTTAGATTGTACAACTCATATGACACAAGCAAGCTTGATTTTTCCTTTTTTCCCCAACCACTCCATCAAACTTCTTCACATTGTATGAAACTTGTATATACTTACTTCCTTTTGCCTGTTTCTCAGCATATCACACTCTACATATTTTCTGTAGGATTTACTACTTTTCCAATAATTTTTCTAAAATTGATAAATTATTCTAGAGTAAAAAGGTTATTTTTACATAATTGTCAAAGTGAGACATTTTATTGGAGCATTTTTTTTCTAAAATTACATTGGCTTGTTTTTCTTTTTAATTTGTTAATGATTAAGAAAATTGATTGCCTGACAGTTCTCCACAGGATTCCCTAATTTTCCCTAGCTATTAAGCATGCCTACTACCACTCCCAAAATTTACAGAAACTGTAATGTGTCCATTTAGTAATCAGTTGATAATGACACAGAAAGATATAAAAATTTACAGATTAAAAACACCAACATTAAAATATTTTGAGAGAGATAATCCAAAAGAAAATATGTATTTATGAGAAAAGGAACGCTAGACAGTCAAGATAAAACAGGTCTTCAAATGTTCTGTATATTCATAGTTTAAAACTGTATGTATATATATATATATATACATACACACATATGGTGCTTAAATAAAAACATTCTAAATATACTACTTTGCATTAAATAAGATCTCAAAAATACTGATTGACTAGTAATAAATATTTTATTTCCTTGGTTAAAATATCTCTAATTTTGACCTCATCCAATACCATTTATATTCCTGTTGTATTTTCATAAAATAAAAAATTGGAAAACTATTTACTATAGTCAGCAAATAATAATGCAAAACTTGTAGCATATTATTAAAATACTGTGTTTCAGATATTTTTGTTGGTATTTTCAGAGACTAAAATAAATACAAGTCTACACTGAGTGAAATACAACAATGCACTTATTTCTGAGCCTTGTTTAAGATTGATATGAGACATTTATTTGGATTGATGATGTCACTTAGCTGAGACTGACTCTGGAAAACTGTAATTCTGGTGACCCAAATCTTCCTATGTCCTATGTTTATTTGTAGCTGGCCCAAGACTAATAAAATACTGAATTACAGAGTGGCCACTGATATAGTAGATATGGAAGGTGTATTTCCAGTGGTAAAAATAAACTGAGCTGCTTTCTAGGGGTAAAAGGAATATGATACATTTTATGTTTCTATTTGTAAAATTTCTACTGACTCTTACAGCAAAAATTTAAAGGAATACTATTTTTAGGCTCTCAGGAATTCAAGTTTAGAGGATACTAATAGAGATTTTCTAATTTCAGTTCCCTTTGAATGCAGATGAATAAATTCAAACCCAGAGAGCTTAAATTACTTGCCAAAGATCACCTATTAAAATTTAAGCAGTTGGCTGGGCAAGGTGGCTCACACCTGTAATCCCAGCACTTTGGGAGTCCTAGGCGGGTGGATCACCTGAGGTCAGGAGTTTGAGACCAATGTAGCCAACACGGTGAAACCTCCCTCTACCAAAAATACAAATATTAGTGGGTGGGGGGGTGGGGGGTGCCTGTAATCCCAGCAACTCATGAGGCTGATGCAGGAGAATCACTGGGGCAGGAAGCAGTGGTTGAAGTGAGCTGAGATCATGCCACTGCACTCCAGCCTGGGCAACAGAGCAAGGCTCAGTCTTAAAAAAAAAATGAGTAGTTTTTTTCACTTTTTTACTAAAAATTTTATCTATGGTTGTGGTATCAGCAATTATACAATTTATACAGAAATGTTAATGACTAAATGGCACATTTGGTAAACACACATTCTGTTCCATCTCAATGATCTTGAAACTCAAAAAGAAACTCTGGTTGTCAAACTACTTCAGATACATCTTTTTGCCTATTCACTGGATCCTCACCCATCTATGATCTTAAACTTGTATTCTCTAGCCAGTTTTCTCTCAAGAAAGTAGAAAATTCAGAAGAGAGAAACTAATTTTTACCTTATTCCTTATTTATTTATTTATTTTGGACTAAGTTATGTCCAGTGAATGTGAGTTTTTAAACCTTGAACATCCACAAATGCCCATCGATAATAGACTGGACAGGGAAAATGTGGCACATATACACCATGGAATACTATGCAGCCATAAAAAACGATGAGTTTGTGTCCTTTGTGGGGACATAGATGAACCTGGAAACCACATTCTCAGCAAACTAACACAAGAACAGAGAATCAAACACCACATGTTCTC